CTCTCTCTCAGGAGAAGAAGACCGCCTGTGAGCGCTATAAGGAGGTGTATATGGAGCTGAGTGGGATGAAGTCTCGCAGTGAGCGGGAGATCGAGACCCTGCGGGAGCACCTCAGACTCGCCATGGCCGCGCTGCAGGAGGGACAGTCGCTGGGCAACAGTCTGGCCGACTGAGAGGGAGAGGGAGAGGTCAGTGTCCCGGCCGCCAGCCGCTGACCCAGGCTCTCCCTGCGCCCACACCATTGTAGAACTGTACCAAAGACCGTATCGCAGTTAGCGCCCCCTGGGCTGCTGTGAATGCCTTGTCAGTAATTGACTTTCATCTCTCCCTACAGTTTTTCAGCCACGCTGGCTCTTTGGGAGATGGTCCCTGATGTCTACAGGCTTACGTTTTTGGATCCAGCGTGGAAAACTGAGAGAGTGCCTTAGCCTCCGTTTCATCAGCCAATGGGAAGCCAAGACTGGTACCAGCTGATCGTCACCGGGGGCCTTTTAGTTTAGCGGTTTTTACGTCGTCTTCCCGTTCTTCTGTCTGCCTTTGAGAACAGATGTGGAGCCGCCCGCTGTGCGCCTGGAGTCCGTGATTGTAGCGGAGTTTGCGAAGCTCCGATAGTGGTGGTCAAGCAGGAGAGCCCCAGCTTCAGGTGTTCGGTGAGGTCAAAGTATCGGTTTGGGGCAAAGAGGCAATCTGTGAATTTTCAATGTTGCATCAAACCCTCTTTGTTTTTGGTTTTTTTTAAAAGTCTAATTTCTCCCTGCAGGCCTGACACAAGGCCCGTCTCGCTGTTGTTCCCCTGTGTGGCCCAGGTGGCCGGACAGGTGCACACGCTCCTCTCTGGGGCTGGTGGGCAGCTCTCCCCACTACAGGCTCCTCCAGGCCAGCTCTCGCCCTCAGGGTCTCAGGCCCACCGCCAGGAGAGCTGGTCACCAGCTACTAACCAGGTGGTTGTGAAGGCCATGGACAGGGCATGTACTGGCCATGGACTGGCAACAATCTGGTTGGAAACTACTAAAGGATAGGTCACCAACTACTGGTGAACAAGTCATGAATGACCAACAGTCTGGTTGGTAACTACTAATGAACAGGTCATGAACTACTAATGAACAGCTCGTGAAGTGCTCATGGACTACTGACGATCTGGTTATTAATGAACGAACTGGTCCTGCACTCTTAATGAACGGGTCCTGAACTACTAATGGACGTGTTGGGAACTGGGATCCGGGGAGACGGACTGATTTGGGGAGAGCACACGGGAATGAGGTAAACTCAAAGGGGCCCGTGCGCTACACGCTGGGCAGCCCCCCCCTGTCAGTGACACACACTGGACGGGCGACCCCACAAACTGCACTTTTAGTACGATGGGTGGATGGACAAGAGGGGCCCCAACATATTTGTATAGATTTTAATTTCGCTGCTCTGGGGAGTTTTAGATCAGACTTTGATTTGGCTTTTTTAGAAGACCGCAATTCCTTACAGACAGACCGGAAATGTGAGACAAGTCCGTGCACAGCCAGTCCTTGCACCTGAGCTTCCTGTTACTGAGCATTAAACCCTGGAAAACCACTACTGGATGAAGTTGTTAAGGGGAGAGAGGGGTGTATGGGGCTGTGCAGGACTGGGGTGGCTGTGGAGGTCGGGCACAGGGCTGGGAATGTGTCACGAGGCCTGACGCTGCCCTGGTGTGACAGAGTGACGTTTGTGAAGAACAGGACGAGTGACCTTGGTTCGCTTAAAGAGAGGTGGGGGGGATGTATTTTTAAAAAGATGTGAAGAAAAACAGGACTTGTGGAGTGTTAAGGTGAAACCGTTTAGCGTGAGAGAAGAGGAGGAGAGTTTTTCTTAACGGAATTATTAAGCGGGAGGGGGGAGTGTTTTTCAAGATCTTGACCAAAAAGGTAAAATGTCTGTTTTTTTTTTTAAAAGAATCTCCTTGTTTTTTTTTAAATGTTTTTAGAGGTTATGTCCTGTTTGGTCAGTGCAGTCCTGCTCCAGACTGTACTGCCTTTACTGTAAAGTGCCCTTTACTGTAACCCTGCCCTGTGTGCTGGGCAGGGACTGTAGGTTTACACATGCCTGGCTCTCCCAGTCTGTCAGCTATGCTCTCTAGAGTCTCCCTCCCTCCATCCTTCTGTTTGTGTCTCCGGTCCTCAGCCGTTACCTCCTCTGGCTTGATGTGGTTCCTCAGGGGTTAATGCAGAATCCCTGGAGCAATTAAGATAGGTCCTAAAACAGACCCTAGAGACACACCTAATACTGAAAGATTAATTTAAGCCCTACAACATATCATAGAGAGATGTAATAAAAATAAATTAATATAGATCCTAGAACGGACCAGAGCCATAACTTTACAGATGAACACAAGCCCTCTTATAGACCCTAGACCCTGACAGAGCTCAGCACAAGGTTTAAATCTGGCCCAGAGTTCATAGCTGACAGCCAGAGGAGGAGGATGGAGGGAGACGGAAAGCAAGGCAGGGGAGAGGAAGAGTGGGGATACTTGGTGCTCTCACACAGCCGTCCCTGACCCGGATCGGCTGTTTGGGAAAGGTCCGGCCCTGCTCGGCGGTGCTGCTCTGACAGCCCAGGATGGGGCTGGATAACCTGGAGTCGCCCTGGGGGCTGTGCTTCTCCAGCTGGGGCAGACCTGCGTGCTCCACCCCACCCATGAGGAGCGATTCCTTGCCAGCGAACACGTGAACGTTTTCCCAGTAACCGCGGCGTGCGCCAGCGCTCGATGGGTGCTGTGAGGGTTTCGGAAGGCCCAGATCAAGCTCGCCGGCCGTAGCTGGACCTGACCGGGACCCTCCCCGAGCGGAGAAGCGTTTACACCGCCGGAGTAGAGCAGGAGTGAGACCTGATCAGAAACGGCAGTGTGAACGCCTTGGACCGAGTTCGGTTTGTCTTGGTGGCGTTTGTCGTGCAGCAGTCGGTGATGCTTCAGTGAGCCAGCAGATCTGTGTTTTGGGAGGGTTAACAGGTCAGTCTCGTACAACTGGATTCATACCTTTTATTATTATTGACAGAGTGTTACATTTTTTTATATTTAAGTACATATCTATATATAAAGTATCAATGTTTTGCAATCAATAAAATTATAGCAAAAGTATTTCTGGGTCGTGTCGTCTCTGGAACGTAGTCGTGTGTGTCTCGGCTTCACAGGCGGGCAGGACAAACATCATTCCAGCTTCAGGGTGGAAGCAGGCAGGTTTGAAGGGGTGGGAGGTTTACTCTGATGAAGGAAGGTGGGGTGGAGGGTTAGTGAGCACTGTTGTGGCCGTCCTGTCATGAGAAACGGGTGTGATGATGCCTGTATCGCCCCCTGCTGGGTGACGCAGGACAGCTAGCTGGGCAGAGGGGCCAGGGATCGGGCTGGGGTTCGGTCCGGGGACCCCCGCACTCCGCTCACGTCCCTCTCCCCCGCTGGCAGACCAGGGCGAGGCCCCGGCTCGGCTCAGACGATCACCACAAGGGGTCCTGGGATGCTGAGGGACATGCCCTTCAGGAACTCCCGGTGGTCCTGGGGGAGCCCCGGAGTCTGGGGCGCAGCGGCCTGCCGCCCCCTCTGCTCCCGTGCCCCCGAGTGCAGCTGGGGCCCGCTGGACCCGCCCCGCCCAGGGCCAGCCCCAGTGTGCTCCTGGCCTGTGGGAGAGAAGGGTCCGTCAGTCTCCTGTGTTCCCAGGACAGACCTGCGCGCAGACTGGGCTCCTCCTCTGGCCCTGCCTGCCCTGCAGCACGTCTCTCCCCTGGCCTAGACGCAGGACCTGCTGCGGTCTGTCACTGTCTGTCACCCCCACTCCTGTCAGAGCCCTCTGCTCCTGCCCCGGGGGGGGCTTTCAGGATCTGCTCCTGCCCCAGGGGGGGAGTGGGTTCTCAGGCTCTGCTCCTGCCCCGGGGGGGGCTCTGCTCTTGCCCCAGGGGGGCACTCAGGCTCTGCTCCTGCCCCAGGGGGGCTCTCAGGACTTGCTCCTGCCCCAGGGGGGGCTCTCAGGACTTGCTCCTGCCCCAGGGGGGGCTCTCAGGCTCTGCTCCTGCCCCAGGATGGCTCTGCTCCTGCCCCGGGGGGGAGAGGGCTCTGCTCTTGCCCCAGGGGGGCTCTCAGGCTCTGCTCCTGCCCCAGGGGGGGCTCTCAGGCTCTGAGGAGGGGCTGGTGGGGGCAGTCAGGCCTCAGGCTGGGCTGCGTGCTGCAGGAGAACGAGTCCAGGAGCAGCGTGACCCAGACAGGCCGTCCAGATAGCAGGAGCCCTGGAGTCAGAAGCAGCGTCAGAGAGCCGAGGTCAGGGAGCCGGGAGCCTGGCAGGCGCCGGCTCTGCCCCCTCGTGTCCGTGCGGAATCTCGGGAGCCCCAGCGCCGCGGGGGAGGAGGCCCTCCTGGGGCAGCCGGGGGGCAGGAGTCAGAGCCCACAGCGTCTCCGAGAGCCCAGACGGCTCAGCGGCTCTCGGCCCTCATGCAGCGGTCAGACCCTGGAATCCACCCTCTGGCCGTGCTCCTGCTCCTGCTCACTGAGAGCAGGTCTCGGTTCCGACGCCGTCACGTGTGTCCGTGGAACGACCTCCAAAACAAACCCTGTGCAGCATCACGCAGAGTCACCACCAACACCGAGTGCACCCCTGTCCGGGGCCGTGTCAGCGGTCGCAGGGTCGCCCCCTCTCGCACCCAGCGCGGTGACGTCAGAGGGACACTTCCCCGACCCCTCTTTACAGGGCAGTGACGTCGCGGCTCGGGTCACGTGTCTGCGGGGAGTCCCCAGCCGAGCCGGGTCTCTCTCCAACATGAATATTCCTTAACTGTTTTCAGAGCAAGGTTGTGTGAGGTGAGGGGGGCTGTCTGGTGTGTAAAACTCTTGGTTGCAGCATTGTGGGTGCTGTGGTTTAAAAGCTATTGGCTCGTGAACAGCATTCTCCCTTCCCAGAGCATTGTGCCACATTCAATAGAAGCACAAGGAAAAGAGATTCAGAACTCAAAGCTGTGTCAGTCTTCTGTGTAAAAAAATCGGTTTGAACATCAGGGGAGCTGTTTTTAATACGCTGCTGAGTAAAGAATATGATTTTTTCTGCTGTCAGTAGTACTGTGAATCTAGACCCTTACCTGAATGAAAACAGGACGAAAAGAAAGGGTTTTAGAAATCAAACAAAGCTGTACTCCCGTGCTTACAGACTGGAGTAATTGGAGACTGCGCTGTTCTGCTTCCTATGGTCATAGACGGGTTTTGCGCACGAAGCCGTATTGAACAGTATTTCTCGCGTTGTGAACGTGTGCACACAGCGGCCCCCCGGGCTCCAGTTAGTGCGTAATTACGCATCGATGAAAAACCGGAGGATTCAAAAAAGATAATTCGCTCACTGATAGTTTGATGTAGAGGCTGTGGGAATTTCCACAAGTCGTGGTCTTTAAAATGCGTTTGGTTTGAAGGCGTTCTGCGTTTCCATTGCGAAGATATGGACAAAATAATATTCGAGCGTGGTCAAAAAAATGTCATAAAAACGACGAAGTGAAGGCCGAGAAAGCATTCACCATGTTGTTTATACACAAAGCAAGTGTTTTCGTAACCCTAGGAGGTTTCGTGAAAGCGCTACAGGCGTGCCAAAATCGTTTTCGAACTTCAAGCTGACTGTACCGCGGTGGTGAACGTGGAGCAGAGGAGTTTGTTGTCGTTTGCACACGAACACTGGGACTCTCATCAGCGCTGATGTCGCACACAGTACCACAGACAACACCACACAGTACACTGTAGACAGCACGTTACAAACACCATCAGTCATAACGACAGAACAAGAAATAAATCTGTTGCAGTGAGAAGCAACGGTAGACCACGCGAAAACTGCAGAGCGCAGACATGCACGGAGCCTGAGGCAGGGGCAGTCGGCTGCTCAGGACGCAAAAGTGAAGATAAGTCATTGAGAAAAGTTACGGTTTTAAATATTCCGACAGTTTCCAGGACAAACGCAGCAGGCTCACCTCTGCAGCAGAGCCAGATGCCCATCTCTGAGCAGCCGGGCCGGTGTCCCAGGTGTCCAGGTGTGGAGCCGCTCGGACAGACGCGCTCTGGAGTGGGGATTGACTCACCTGCTCTCATTGGCCGCTCGCCACCACTCTGATTGGCCGAGCCGGCAAGAGGGGGCTGGGTTTACCAAGAACCCGGATTCAGGAGACGCACGTTTTCAACACCCGATTTTCTGCCCTGGCAAAATATCCCCATTTATCTTTAATTCTGTTGTTAAATTCTCACCGCCCACAGGGTGCCCGGCGTTGTGTTGTGGCAGACGTGCTGGAATCTGTCCTGGGTCCTTGTGTTTTCACAACAGTGTGGATCACGTGTGCTGACACACCCACCAAGCTCTTCCCGAAAATACAGTGACATTCGCACCCAGCACCGACTTCAGTCTTCAATCAGCGTCTCGTAGCTGTTTAAAGATCAGGACCTGTTTCTGGGACACAGCCAGAACAGCTTATAACAGTTCGAGCAAAGCTTCACCGGTCGCCAGGAGGAAAAAGTATTTTCTTCTTCCTCTTCAAAGTTCGAGCCCTGAGCGCCTCGCCGGCGGAGAGCTGTCCTGGGCTGTATTCCAAAGCAGTTTTTACATGTTTGTCTACTTTTCATACAATTTGCTCACTCAGTAGATGTTTACGGGAGACTATTAGCACTAAGGAGAAAAAAAAAGTTCCGTTTAAATGAGGAGCCATTTATTTTAAACGCAAGAATTATGACTTTTGCTTTTAAACCCATTATTATCTCCCTTAAAGGTGTTGTTTGTTTTCTCCGTTGCGCTAACAGGCGTCTGTAGGAGGTTCTAATTGTGGTCTGGGTCTTGCTGCAACAGTGCACCACAACATTGAAGTTCCTTCTTTTCGGCCCGATTATACCTCCGTGGAGGCGGCGGTGAATATAGTAGTTCAGTAGTTCATGCGCAGGCTGCAAAGGGACAAGTAACAGGTTCATTCCCTGCTGAAAAGAGAAGACAACACAACGTTTCGGCCGTGGAGCCTTCTTCAGGTGTGAGAAGGCTCCACGGCCGAAACGTTGTGTTTTTTTTTCTTCTCTTTTCAGCAGGGAATAAACCTATTTTTTCCAGTGAATATAATGCGACCACTGTCGCCAATCGGCCTCGGCAGTTTGTAATAATTCAGGTCCCTAAAACTGTTCAAGCCCCAGTCTGGTCTTTATCAAGCACAACTGCCATCTGGTGGCTAAAGGGCGTTATGACATGACCCGGGCGAACACTTCCACAGGGTGTGTGGGATCCTAATTCAGCGCTCTGCAGCCTGTGAGGTTCACAACCCAAGGGATGTTTTTAGAGGAGGGATCCCCAGTCCGTGTCCTGGGGAACCCCAATCCAGTTAGTCTTTAAGGGTGAACTGGAAGAAGAAAGGAATCTGCTCGAGAGCCCTCCGGTCCTTAAGGGCTGAAGAGCACTTTTAATTTGAGTCCTAAATGATCTCTAAATGATTTAATTTAACCCAGATTTAATTTAAGGTAAAGTGCTTTTTTAAAAAAAAAACAGGATCACAGACGTTAAACACTGTGTGAGTGAATGCACGACAAAGGCATGAGATATATATAATAATATACCTTTATTGCGCATTGATACACGTACAATATGTGCAAAAGACAGTATTTCATCGAGGTCTACAGAAAGAGAAGGATAAGCATCCGGAACACAACCCTGAATCAGAAGCTCAACCCGTCTCACTGCGTCAGCTGCTCCGGAGAACTCATCCCGCTGTTTCTAGGAGGATTCCGGAGCTCCGGAGCTTCAGCAGCCTGGTCGAGCAGAACAGACGCACACACCCCCCACCACTCTCAGTGTAAAGAAGTGCCTCGTGATCTCGGTGCCAGAGGATAAGTTTGGAAGCGTCTCCCTGTCCCTCTGAGAGCAGAGCTGCGCGACAGCGGAGGGGTCAGACGGAGGGCAGAGTCAGAGTTTCTTTCACCGCTGACCAGAGGGGCTTGCGTACCCCAGGCGGCGACTGGCCGGCTCTGCAAAGGTGTCGCTGCTCATTCAAGCTTCAGGGTCTTGCTCTCTGAGGGCAGACCGGCTGGTGTGTGTCAACACCCTGCCAATTACTATAATGACACAGGGTCCCCCAATGAGCAGAGCTCAGGTTCCTCCAGAAGACCCCCAAACCCCCCTGGAGCCGCAGCTCTCGGGGTTAGAGTGACCCCGCAGCTCTGCTGGCCTCAACGGGCGGAGCAGCCCTCAGGAGGGAGCTGCAGCCCCGCAGGCGGATGGGACGTGTGTAAGGGTGAGGGCGGTAAGGGCTAACGGGCTCTAAGGCACAGGTACGTCTCGCCGCGCTGTCCTCCGGGCACTGACCACCCTGCGGCCTGGCCATCGGTCAGTCTCGCCCGGCCGGAGTGGCAGGGAGAGCTGCTCGAGAGCTGAAAGCAACGACGGCGCTCAGATCAACGTGGGCACAGGAGCCACAGCTGCAGGGGGTCCCCAGGGGAGGCACGGGGGGAACCCCTCTGCACTGGACAGCTGTTTCAGACTACAGATCCTCTAGATCGGGGGGTCCCAGCTCTGGAGCTGGGGGTCCTGCCGGTTTTCATCAGCGGATGAAGGCTGTGGAGGGGGGGTCACTGGGCCCGTTAGACCTCGAGTGGATCAGTGTGACCCCCCACCCCCTGAGGACACACAGAGCACCTGCTGGCTTCTGCCCCCCCGGGGTCGGAGCGGGGAGCCCCGGAGCCGCCCCAGCGGATCCCCCTGTTCCGGGCCGGACCCGCCCCGACCCCCCTCCCCCACCTCCTATTTGACCTTGGTCACCACGTCCACGATGTTCAGGTCCTTGAAGGCCAGTTTCAGAACGGTCAGCACGGCCTCCAGGGGGCTCTCGGCCTCGGCCCCCGCGCTGCCCCCCAGCAGCCCCCCCAGCGCGGCGCCCCCCAGCGGGCCC